TAGGAGGAGGGAGGACGAAGACGAGGAGAGGAGAGAGGAGAGGTGACGGAGACCACGGTGCTCCCAAGGAGCAGCGCAGGAGGAGGCGGGAGGAGAAGAAGGTGGAGGCCACAGTGCTCTGCTCAAAGCGAGAGACCCATCAAGGGAGGGTAGGGGACAATGACTGGGAGGACACGAGGAGCTCTCTGAGAGGCTGCCTTCTGGCCGCGGACGAGGGCAGGAAGCGCTGCCTGTGATTTGCCCTGGAGCTGCGCACGTGCCCAGGAAGCGTTTTTCCAAAGGAAGCCCACGCCATGAAACACCCTGCTTGCCTCCAGGGTGCCCTGGGTTTCTTGAGTTTCGATGGCTTTGCAATGGAAAGCGTGATTTTCCCACACCAGAAATCAATGGACGTCCTGGGGTCTCAGGGCTGGGTTCCTTGTGGAAGGTTTCTTGTGGTCGAGCTCCCACTGTAGGTGCTACATTGGCGCTGTGCGCACTGCGCACGAGCCTAGGAAGGACTGCATGGGAGCTGACTCCTGGCTCTGGCGTCCACGGGGCAGTTTCCGTCAAACAGTTGCCCGACAAATGAGAATAAGTCCCGGAGACCGGGTCGAGTGCTGCGGGGCCTGCTGTGGGTGGTGGAGAAATCACGGCCCTGGGGACTCGGGCGCTGCATGCCCTGGCGGCGCAGCCACGGCATGGCCTTCGGATTTCCTGCCTGCCCTCGGGCCCTCCACCCCTCCTCTGCGAGGCGTCGGTGGCTCTCGATCATCGTCGCAGGCTTGGCTTGATGCGCATTCCACGCCGCTTGTATCATCGCCCAGGTAGTGGTTGCACGTCAGCTCTGTTCGAGACCCCCGGGACGACAGCTCCGCGAATCCTGGAAATTCAAAATCACTCGATTGACTTCGAGAGGTCGTTCGTGGTGGACGAAGAGGAGAGTGCGGGGGAGGAGAGGCAGAAAAAGAGCCTCGCCGCCGAAACTCGAGGGAATGCGAGCATGGGCTAAGGGCGTGGATCAGCGACGGGTCCCGATTCCATGCAATATCGGCGCGCGGTGTTGCCAAATGAGGCGGCACTGGCCTCATGTGTCGAGGGTACTTTCCCCGATCCATGGATCTGGCGCCCGCGCACCAGATCCACGGGTCATGGACCTATGTCAGCGCGTGCCCGGAAGACCCGCCGGGGCTTTCCCCCCCACTCCCCCACATTCTGCGGCAACAAATGGGAGCCTCGGGAGCCTCCTGTACCATCTTGCTGGCTCTTGCGAATCGACGCTAAGCGGATGTTACTCTGCTCGGAATTTAGGTCGGCATTTCCTCCTACAGGCGGATTTGCGGCGACAAATGACATACAGTCAACAAATGTTCAAAAATACTTGAGCAGGCCGAAAGACTTTCCTCTTGAGGCCCACATGACAAATGCGAAGTGTCGTTGACTTTAGCGGATGCGGACGCTGCGATCATATCGCGCTCGCGTCTTGGTGGGGTGCGGCATATGTTATGGTTGGCTGCGGGAGTTGGCCAGGCCCGCTGTGGCGCTCGAGCACCCACATGTTATGGAGGCTGCGGGACTTGGCCAAGACAGCTGTAGCGCTCGAGCAACGACATGTTATGGGAGGGGGTCGGAGATGTGGCCAGGCCCGCTGTGGCGCTCGAGATCCCGACTTGGGCACCGTGGCCGTTTTCCCTCCAAGGCTTGGGCTGCAGGTCCAATGCTCCGTGGATCCACTTCCCCTTGGGTCCCTTGTTTTAATTATTTTTGTAAATTGATTCTAGCAGAAGAATTGGATCCACGAAGCTTCCACGCCAAAGAATTGGATCCAGAAGACACGGAAATTTGATCCACGTGACTCTCGCACACACGTAATTGTATCCAAATGGATCCATGCGTTCCCATGCAAGAGGAAAACATTTTCGGCCTGGGGATGAAGAGTTTTGCACCCCTTCTGTCTTTCAGCAAGCTGCACGCGTTGGCGGGGGAGACGGGGGTCAAAAGCCCATGAAGAGTTTTGCACCCCTTCTGCCCTTCAGCACGCTGCACGCGTTGGCGGGGGAAACGGGGGTCAAAACCCCACTGAAGAGCTTTGCACCCCTTCTGCCTTTCAGCACGCTGCACGCGTTGGCGGGGCAAAACCCCATGAAGAGCATAGCACCCCTTCTGCCCCAGCACGCTGCACGTGTTGGCGGGGGAAACGGGGGTCAAAACCCCACTTGAGCAGGCCGAAAGACTTTCCTCTTGAGGCCCACATGACAAATGCGAAGTGTCGTTGACTTTAGCGGATGCGGACGCTGCGATCATATCGCGCTCGCGTCTTGGTGGGGTGCGGCATATGTTATGGTTGGCTGCGGGAGTTGGCCAGGCCCGCTGTGGCGCTCGAGCACCCACATGTTATGGAGGCTGCGGGACTTGGCCAGGGCAGCTGTGGCGCTCGAGCAACGACATGTTACGGGAGGGGGTCGGAGAGGTGGCCAGGCCCGCTGTGGCGCTCGAGATCCCGACTTGGGCACCGCGGTCGTTTTCCCTTCAAGGCTTGGGCTGCAGGTCCAAGGCTCCGTGGATCCACTTCCCCTTGGGTCCTTTTTTTAATTATTACTATCGGAGGTGAGGGGTTGAGATCGAAGTGGAACGGAGAGCCCCCCTACCGGGAAATCGGTTTCGGTTTCGTGTTCGTGCGTGCCGCGCGTGCGGGCGAGGCGAAGCTGCGTGGGCGGGCGAGAGGAAAGTCTCCTCCGGATGAGGCGCGGCCGGACCAAATGATTCCTTTCTGTGGGCCCGTGGCCCGCGGTGTCCCGCCGGTGTCCCGCCTCCGGCTGGGCCGCGGCTGGACCAAATGATTCCTTTCCGGGGGCCGGTGGCCCGCGGTGTCCCGCTGGTGTCCCGCCGATGTCCCGTCGGTGTCCCGATGATGATGATGATGATGATGATGATGATGATGATGATGATGATGATGATGATGATGATGATGAGGAGGAGGATGAGGATGAGGATGAGGATGAGGATGAGGATGAGGCTGAGGATGAGGATGAGGATGAGGATGAGGATGAGGATGAGGATGAGGATGAGGATGAGGATGAGGATGAGGATGAGGATGAGTATGAGGATGAGGATGAGGATGAGGATGAGGATGAGGATGAGGATGAGGATGATGTCGATGATGACGATGATGATGATGGTGATGATGGTGATGGTGGTGATGACGAGGGTGTCCCGATGATGATGATGATGATGATGATGATGATGATGATGATGATGATGATGATGATGATGATGATGATGTTGACGACGTTGATGATGATGATGATGGTGATGGTGATGGTTGTGATGATGATGGTGTCCCGATGAGGATGATGTTGATGATGACGATGATGTTGCTGATGATGATGGTGTCCCAATGATGATGATGCTGATGATCCTGATGATGATGATGATGAGATGATGATGATGATGATGAGATGATGAGGATGAAGATGATGCTGATGATGGTGTCCCGATGAGGATGATGAGGTTAATGGTGATACTGTTGTTGATGATGATGATGAAGGTGATATTGATGATGATAGTGTCCCAGCGATGATGATGATGACGATGATGGTGTCCCGATGATGATGATGTTGATGATGCGAATGATGATGGAGTTATGATGGTGATTTTGATGATGGTGGCCGGATGATGGTGGTGATGATGATGTTGATGTTGATGATGATGGTGTCCCGATGATGGTGATGATGATGATGGTGACGATGATGATGGTGTCCCATGGTCATGATATTGATGATGTTGTTCATAATGATGATGAGATGATGATGATGGTGGGGTTCCGATGATGATGATGGTGTCCTGATGATGATGTTAATGATGGTGATGGTGATGATGATGATGATGATGATGATGATGATGATGATGATGGTGACGATGATGGTGTCCCGATGATGGTGATGATGATGGTCATGATGATGACGATGATGATGATGGTGATGATATGATGATGATGGTGTCCCGATGATGATGATGATGATGATGATGATGATGATGTTGTTGATGACGTTGATGACGATGATGTTGATGATGATGATGATGATGATGATGATGATGATGATGATGATGATGATGACGTTGATTGTGGGATCGACTGTGATATCGATAGTGACATCGATAGTGAGATCGATTGTGAGATCGATTGTGAGATCGATAGTGACGTTGACAGTGAGATCGATTGTGAGATCGATAGTCAGATCGATTGTGAGATCGACCGAGTGATATAGATCGAGTGAGATCGATTGTGAGATCGATCGGGTGAGATCGATCGAGCGAGACCGATAGTGAGATCGATAGTGAGATCGATAGTGAGACCGATCGAGTGAGACGTTGGCTCCTCCCCCCTCCGAACCTCTTTATCACCCGAAGGGTGGTCGCATAGGTAAACTCACTCCAGCAGAAGAATTGGATCCACGAAGCTTCCACGCCAAAAAATTGGATCCAGAAGACGCAGAAATTGGATCCACGTGACTCTCGCACACGTAATTGGATCCAACTGGGTCCATGCGTTCCCATGCAAGAGGAAAAAACTTTCGGCCGGGGGACGTCGACGAGAATAGTCGGAAAATCGTCCCGAATCCTCGACTTATTTCTGAATCGGTGTTAGCGTGCACCCGAGACATGGGCAAGTCCGCCCAGAGCATGCTCGCGCACTGGGCGCTGTCCACATGGCAGCGGCGCCGGGACAGCGAAAGCCTTGACATCGCGCACCTGTGAGCGAGGCGCCTCCAGTGAGGGGGGCTCGTCGTCCTCCTCTCTCCCCTCCTGCTGCTGCTCCTCCATCTAATGTTCCTCTTCCTGCTCTTCGTCCTCTTCCTCCTCCTCTGCCTCCTCTTCCTCCGCCATGTAGTCCTCCTCTCCCTCCCTTCCTCCATGCCGGCGCGGACATTTTCTCACCTCGTTTGTTCCTGCCCGCTCGGGTCCGCTCTGCACCCCCCCCCCCACCCACCCACAGAGCCATCCGTGGCCCCTGCCCCCAGGCTCGTCGGCCGAAGCCGGTGCCAGAGCAGCTCGACGCTCAGAAGGAAGCCGTGCCACCGCCACCGCTGACGGCCCCCGGGGGTTGGCAGACTCGGCGCGCACCGCAGCACGCCGAAACGGGCAGGGATTCAGTCGAATTTTTTTTGTTCGCTCAGGCACAGCTTTTGACAGATGATGGCCCGATGGTAACTCTCCTGTTTGCCACAGCTTGCGGGCAGTATAGAGTATGTCCGTGCTTCACAAGAGAGAGAGGGGGGGCAGACATATTTTTATATACACATACATATGGGTTTGCACGCAGTTTGCTGCCCATGCTACACACTAGGCAGCGCACACGACGGCCAGCTGCGCGTACACAATACGTCCCATTGCCCATGATTGATTCGCGCCCAAGTTGTGTTCTGAGGCAACTTGCGTATTTACCGCAGCCTAGTGCCAAGCGATATTTCACGAGTCGGATGACGAAAGCATGTATGTGCCATCGTCGATACACAGACAGGACAACTTGACATATCCCTATGCCAGGCAGTTCACCTCGGAAACATCTATCCCGCCAATGCCCCTTTTCGATGAACACCTTTCTTACGGTTTAAATGTCCTGTGACGTATCATCGGCCAGACTGGTTGTTAGAACACACACGTTGCTGGGTAGTTCTTTACACAGGAACTCTGCGAACAATGGAGTGTTCTCCTCCGCTGGAAGGTTATCTCCAAAAGCACATGCGTTCTTCAGTTCTTCAAAGACAGCAGAATTTACATATTATTGTTTGCGAAGCAATAATCATGGCGTAGTTTTTGCTTGTCCAAACAAATGCAGATCGGTCGAGTGGGTTTTCTAAGAAGATATGCTCGTCTGGATTGGCTTCTGGGTCAGAGAGAATTTAGCTCAGAGGGTTTCTCTTCCGCAAGTTTCGTTGATAAAATATGCAGTCGATTGTGTGTTCATACAAATCGTGTTGGCCTGTTCAACAACCCTTCCGACAGGATTTGATGTCTCCCCGAACATGCATCCAGTAGACATGAATGTTGCCAAGATGTTTCCCAGCGGACGGGATGATCTTTAAATCAGCAGTTGGGATTGGTTTTGCCGGTGGGCTCTTATAGTCAGTGATTCGAGATCAACTACATCTTTGTTCCCACACTCCACACGAAGCTCAACTCTGCCATACCACGACACATCAAAGTCCGCTGAGTCTTAGTGCCTGGTATGCTAAGTTCTCGACCACACGGCCCATTGAAACCTCAGGCATTCGATTCGCTGTAGTTTCCGCGGAGGGCACACGCGGGGATGAGTATGCCCCCCTGGCATCGGTGGGGCCAGAGGAAGATGCACACACATACATATGTATATACATATATATATATATAGAGAGAGAGAGAGAGAGAGAGACATACAGGTGCACATGTGTACAGGGTGCCCTCTTGCTCGTGTGTCGGGTACACGTGAGAGCTGCGGGTCAACTTCTTGGCAGGCTCAGGGTGCCCCTCAGGCCGTTCCTCGGCAGGCCGCCGCCGCCGCCGCCGCCCGTCCCTGGGAGGCTGCCCGTCCCCTCCCCCCTCCCCCGTTTGGCCCCAGAAGCTGCGCGTGGCAGGTCGGAGGGGCGGATGCGTGGCCGGCCTCGGGCCGGATCCCCGCCCCTCAGATTGGCGAGCCAGGGGGTGCGACGACAGTCGTTAGGGAGGCGCCCTCGGAAGCGGAGGCAGTCCTCGAGATCGGCATCGAGGCGAGGCCATGCCCATCACGGGGGTAGCGACCTGTTCCAGGCTGGTAAATCTGCGCTTGCTGCAGCATCAATTCCAGAAGCGCACGCGTTGCGGCAAGAGAATTCGAAGCCCCTGCCAAGATCGGCTCTCGGTGGTGTCCTTGATACAGTCGGACCGAGGCATCAGATCGAGAGCGGTTCGGGGAGGGTGCCCTCATGCTCCTCGTTCTTGTTGGATGCTCTGTTGCGTTCTGGGGAGGGTGCCCTTTGATGTTCGGCCTGTTCTGGCCGACGGAGGGTCTCATGCTCTTGAGGGATTCCCTTCTGGCCTACGTCCGACTGCAAGGGATGTTTCACGACGTGATTGGGGTCGGCCGTGCGCAGATGGGGGCAGGGGGAGGGGGGAAGGCTTCTCAGAAGCACCCTTGCTTCTTAGAGTGCGCGGGCCTTCTCTGTGGATGCGGGGCCGGCGCCTTCTAAGAAGCAGCCTTCTTCTAAGAAGTTTTGCCCCCTCCCCCATGCCCCCACATGTCCGCGCCGCCAAGTGATTGAGAGGGGAGAGGAGGAGACAGCATCAAGCACAGCAACGCTCTCAGCGGAGGGAGCAGCTTGGGGAAGATTTTCGCACACGGGTCCATATGGTGTTCTTGCTAGCTCGCCTTGACTATCAATCGCCGCTTTCGCGAATCCTGCGACCCACCAAACCACCCAACCCAACCCCAATTTCCAGTGAGGGGGGGCGGGTCGGGGAACATTGCAAAAATACATGGAACCTGCCCAACCCGAAATTCTGGTCAAATTCGGGTTTTCGGGTTGGGTTGAGGTGGTCTGGCAGTTAGTCTGTGAAAAGAGTAGCACATGGACGCGTCAACGATGCTGCAGTACCCTCCCGTCCCCACGTCCCCTCCTCAGAAGTCCCTACGGTCGTTTCGCGCCGTGTCATGCGGCGGCGGCCCTGCCGCTGGCGGTCAACGCTGGTCGCCGGCGGCGGCCCAGAATCGGCGGTGGTGCCATGCGAGCGCAGCCACTGGCGCCTTCGGTGGAGCTCCCCATGGAGCCACGAAGCGTGTGATGGGTGTACCGAAATGAGCGCGGTGGTGTCATGCGAGCGCAGCCACTGGGGCCTTCGGTGGAGCTCCCTATGGGGCCACGAAGCGTTTGAGGGGTGTGCCGAAATGGGTGCGGTGGTGCCATGCGAGCGCAGCCACTGGGGCCTTCGGTGGAGCTTCTTATGGGGCCACTTAACGTGTGAGGAGCGTGTCGACATGGGTGCCGTGGTGTCATGCGAGCGCAGCCACTGGGGCCTTCGGTGGAGCTTCCTATGGGGCCACGAAGCGTGTGAGGGGTGTGCCGAAATGGGTGCGGTGGTGCCATGCGAGCGCAGCCACTGGGGCCTTCGGCGGGGCTTCCTCTGGAGCCACGAAGCGTGTGAGGGGTGCGCCAAAGTGAGGGGGGTGACGGGGGGAGGCAGGGAGGAGGAGGAGGAGGAGGAGCAGGAGGAGGAGGAGGAGGAGGAGGAGGAGGAGGATGCGGAGAAGAAGGAGGCGGAGGATGAGGAGGAGGAACGCGGGGACCTTCTCTTCAAAACAAGGACCCAACACCACTGGATGGTTGGGAAAAAACGTTCACATTGGCCTCCAAGGCCCTTGCATCCTTACCGCGCATCCTTATGATACGATTTGATTGCATTGTTCTCCCTTGGGCTATTCGCCCCCATCGTCGCTTTCGATAGGTTGAATGATCCCCGCGGTGTCGGCACGACGCGATCCGGCTGTACAGGAGTTCCTCTCAACCGCGGGGAGCCACCGCTTCTTTCATTGACGAGCGCGCGGTGGGACCCCGCTTGGGCGAGGCCCCGTCTGGCAGAGGATCCACCCATCACAGTCCGAGCTGGAAGAGACACAAAGAGGCAGTACTCGGCGCCACCCCAGCATGCTAGTACTATGTGTGCGTCGCTCCGCCAAGGGCTGGCTGGCTGCGTGCTGGCTGCGTGCCCCCCATCCCCCCCCTCCGCCCCTCCCTACCTCCCCTCTCGGCCGCCTCTCTCTGCCGCTGGGGTTCTTCGATGGGTCGAAAATTGTGTCCGTCGCCCAGCCGGGGGCGACGCGCGCACCGAGAAGTCTTCTAGTCCATGCGTCGTGGCGGGCGCTTTCTGGCCACACCGCTCGGGAAACGATATTCTACAACATGGGTCTACCAGATGTTCGGGTCGGACGCGCGCCCCCAAGGAGGACATATAGTACCAGTATGTGACTGTGCGTCCCAATTCCGATATTGTTTCTTGAAGTGTTCAGCGACAGCCCCGTTTTGAAAAGGATCAGCCCTCCACCCGTGCAAGTGTTGCAGATGTTCAGCGTTATGGTCGTGGGACGCGTGGGAGTCGCAAGCCATGGCCCCATGCTGAGCTGGAGCCGCCCTCCATACCTGCAGCAGTTGCGCAGGTTGCGGCTCGGGGTCACAGGTGTCCCAGTAGTCTTGACCGAGAACCGCATTCTGAAACGTGCTGGCCTCCATCATTCTAATTGTTGGGAATGTTTCAGCCGAGTTTGGGCGGCTCTGCGGCGAGCAGCATTCTGAAAACCACCGATCTTCATTCCTTGTAACTGTTGGATTCGTTGACGTGTGTTGAAAAAGAGTGTGAGCGGCACGGAAGGGATAACCGCATTTTGAAAACGACAGCCCAACCAACAGGGTGACCGTTGAGGCTCCTTAGCTACGCGATGGCTATTTGCAACGGAGTCTTAGGCGAAACGCCTGCCGCGGCCTACGGACGGACACGACTGGTGGTGCGGAAGGGCAGGGTTGTTTACACGGAGATATGACGGAGGAGAGAGGGAGGGAGGGAGGGAGGAGGAGGACGACGACGGGGCACCAGGAAGGGAGGGAGGGAGGAGGCAGGGAGGCAGGGAGGCAGGGAGGCAGGGAGGGGGGAGGAGGACGTCGAGGGAGGGAGGGAGGGAGGGAGGGGGGAGGGAGGGAGTGAGGGAGAGAGGAAGTGAGGGGGGAGGAGGTCGTCGAGGGAGGGTGGACGTCGAGGGAGGGAGGGCGGGACACCGCCCACGAAGGGCCAGGAGCCCCGGCGGCCTCCGCAGCTGCCGCAGCGCGTGCGTAGTGTGGCGCCCCCAGAGCGCCTCCAGGACGCGCCCGCGGCACGCCGCCGTCGCTGCTGGCTTCGGCGACGAGGAGGAGGAGGAAGAAGAGGAGGAGGAGGGGGAGGAGGAGGGGGCGGACGAGGAAAGGGGGATGGGGAGCTTGGAGCTTTGAGGTTAAAGGGGGAATTGGGGCGGAAGAGGAGGAGGAGCAAGCAGGAGACGGGGGTTCTGGTGGCAGAGCTTTCATGTGCCTGGCTCTGAAGCACAACCGAGGGGTTCAAAGACGCGATCAGCAGCAGACTTCACCAGGGGGAGTATGAGGAGCATGGAGCATGGAGCATGGACTGGCCTGGATCGACCCAGGTTCAGAAAAGCAAGCGGCGAAACACAACACCATCGCGGTGAAGCGCGCATCGAGTGGCCCCGCCCTTGCTGGCGAAGCGGCACATGCGCACGCAAGCCTGGCACGCAGAGGCAAGCCCAGAGTCTTGCCCAACGGCCCAGCCTTCCCTGGGCTTGACGACCAGCAGCCTGGCATGCAGAGCAACGCGCCCTGGCGTTGCCGACGCGTTGCAGCCTGCAGCACTCGGGGCATTCCGGGCATGCAGCAACGCCAGGATCAAGACGACGCTCGTCAGCATAGGTACGACCTTCAGCATGGCTTTCCCGAGCAGATGGGGATGCAGGAACGTATGTATCATCAGTTTCGGTGACCCGACCCCGAAACGACGACCAGCAGCGAGAAAGTCTTCGCGGGCACAGAGTTGACCACGAGCATGCGGATGCGCAGGTGCAGGCATACCTCTATCTGTACGGACACGCTGCGGACCAGGAGCATAGTGACCAGTATCCATAGCACCAGCAATTCGCAACTACTTGTACGATTGTTCAGATCAACCGGAAGATCTGCGACTTGCATATATTCACAACCAGCAGGATGTTCAGATATGTGCCGGAGGAGGAGAAGGAGGAGGAGGAGGAGGACGAGGCGCAGTAGCAACAGTAGCAGCAGCAGCAGCCGCAGCAGAAGCGGGAGCTGAGCAGCAGCATCAGCAGGATGGGACGATGAGGCGGCGTCGAGGGGAAAAGAGAAGGAAGGAAGGAAGGAAGGAAGGAGGAGGAGGAGAAGGAGAGGGAACCATGGAGGAGGAGGAGGAGAAGGAGGAGGAGGAAGGAGGAGAAGAAAGTAAGGAGGAGGAGGAGGAGGAGGAGGATCCCTGATGGAGGAGGAACCAGGAAGGAGGAGGAGGAAGAGGAAAAACCAGAAAGGAGGAGAAGGAGGATTTCGAGGAGGATCCCTGAGGGAGGAGGAACCAGGAAGGAGGAGGAGGAGGAGGAGGAAGGAGGAGGAAGGAGGAGGAAGCAGGAGGAGGAGGAGGCACGAGGAGGAGGAGGAGGAGGAGGACGAGGATGAGAAGGAGCCACGAGGGGGGGAGGAAGAGGAGGAGGAGGATGAGGAGGAGGAGGAGGAGGAGGAGGAGGAGGAGGAGAGACAGCCAGCGCCTTCCTGCTCCTCCCCGCACCTTTGCCGCCGCTGGGCTCCGACAGCGACTGCCGCGGCGGGCGTCGGGTCCGTGCTCCAGCCGCGGGCGCGACGCGCGCCCTCAGGAGCCCTGGGACGGGGGTCCATGCAAGCGGGGGTCATCCAGTCAGAGAGCTGGGTCTCGCAGGATCCAACAGGGCCAAGGTCGCACCGACCTGGGCGTGGGCGCAGGATCCTGCAGGATCTGATCCCGCAAAGCCTGATTGACCCGGGTTGGCACTGACCCGGGTCAGTGAGTCCCCGACGTCCGCCACGGCGTTGGCCGTGGTCGCGGCGCCGCCGAGACAGCGGCTGCGTCGGCGGCCGAGGTGGCGGCGGCGGCGACGGCGGCGGCGGCGACGAGGACGGCGGCGGCGGCGGCGATGCCGAGGATTTTGACGACGATGATGACGACGAAGCAGATGACGACGCCTCTGGAGACGACAACGTCGATGACAACGTCGGCGGCGTCCCGGGGCCTGCGGACCTCTCACGCAGCGTGCTCCGACCAGAACCTCCAGTTGAGTCCAGCCGTGTCGAAGCGACGGGGAGGGCTCTCCAGGAGGCTTGCACATTGGGAGAGAAAAAAACGTCAAGACCAGTCCTCTCGGAGGAAGAGAGGAGGACTAAGACCAGGACGATGACGGCGACGACGACGGACGATGGACGACGACGGACCCGATAGCGACGACAGCGACGAGAACCGCAGCGGCCGAGGAGCCCTCGCCCTCGCCGAGGCCGGCCCACTGCCGGCCCGAGAGGCCTCCGCTCGGCTCTCGGTGGGGCCCTCGCCTTCTTTCGATGCCCACCTGCGGGGGCAATGCCTGCACTGACCGCACCCATCTATGGGCACGCCGCCCACCTCAGCTGCCCTGGTACGCCCGTTTTGAAACGCAAAACGTGCCGTGTTCAACACATCCGTGCTGACATGTTGCTTGGCTCCACGTTTTGGCCCACGTTTTGGCGCGCATGTCGCGCCAAATGTACGTTTTCGATCTACATGCTGAGCTCCGTTTGAACACGCTACGGGTTGCGTGTTGCGTATCGGGACGGCTGAGCCGCCCACATGTGGGTGCACTCGAAGGCGAGATAAACTGCACAAACTTCAACTTTTGGCGCTCCGCGCAAGTTTCTTGGATCCGCGCTGGGGCCCCTCAGGCGGCGCCTCCGGCGCCGCCCCTGGCGCGCTCCGCGCGCCAGGGTGGGGGGTTCAGCGCAGATCCAAGAAATAAATCCGCGCGGAGCTCCAATAGTTGCCGGTTACCTCAGAGACTGCTCTTCGGAAGGTGAGGGGGTTGGTGGGCAGGAGCTATTTACAGTTACCTCAGAAAGAGCGTGTTCTACCGCTGCTGGCGGAAAACCGGGGGGGGGGTCACTACCGGTTCGAACCCCTCCCCCCCCCCCCCAGTTCATCATGAAAAGGGGGGGGGTCACTACCGGTTCGAACCCTCCCCCCCCCTCGAAAACCGAGTGGGGGTGCGGACAGTGGTGGGGACGGTGTTGGTGGGGACAGTGGTGAGGGGACAGCGGGACAGTGGTGGGGACAGTGGGACAGTGGGACAGTGGTGGGGACGGTAGTGGTGGGGACAGTGGTGGGGACAATGGTGGGAACAGGGGGGACAGTGGACAGTGGTGGGGACGGTGGTGGTGGGGACAGTGGTGGTGAGGACAGTGGGAATGAGGTGGAAACAGTGGGATAGTGGAGGGTACAATGGTGGTGGGGACAGTGGTGAAGGCGGTGGCGAGGACGGCGGTGGGACAATGGGACAGAGGTACAGTGGGGACAGTGGTGGGGACAGTGGGGACAGTGGTGGGAACAGTGGGACAGCTCAGTGGGACAGCGGAGGAGTCAGTGGGACAGTGGGGACAGTGGGGATAGGCAGTGGTTGGGTCCGTGGAGACAGTGGGGAGAGTGGAACCGTGGTGGGAACAGTGGTGGGAACAGTGGGGACAGTGCGACAGTGGTGGGGGCACTGGTGGGGACAATAGGGACGGTGGTGGAACCAGTGGGGACAGTGGTGGTGAGGACAGTGGTGCTGGGAACAACAGTGGGGGATGTGATGCGAGCGGTGGTAGGGACCGGGAGTCGTTTGCTGGCGGTGCGTGGGGGGGGGGTTCGAACCGGTAGTGACGCCCCTCCGGTTTTCGAGGGGGGGGGGGGTTCCAACCGGTAGTGACCCCCCCCGGTTTTCCGGATCCGGAGGGGGGGGGGTGGGGGGTTCGAACCGGTAGTGACCCCCCCCCGGTTTTCGAGGCGGAGGGGGGGGGGGGGGAGGGGTTAGGGGAGGGGGGGGCTTTGCCGGGGGGAAGGGGGGGGGGAGGGGGGGGGTTCCAGGGGTTCCAGCAGGGGGGGGGGGGGGGAGGGGATTTTCGGAGGGGGGGGGGGGGGGGGAGACCCCGGGTTCTGGAGGAAAAGGTTGGCAATTTTCCACAGTAAAGCGGCGGTGGATTACGCTCTCTTTTACCTCAGAGACTGCTCTTCGGAAGGTGAGGGGGTTGGAGGTGAGGAACTGCGTGGGTTTGCGCCTCGGCGCGGTTGTTTGCCTAGCAGTCACTCGGCTGTCTGCCTAGATCTTCAATCATTGTATCCCAAGGCGGAGCCAGAAGCATGCAGTTGCCTGCGAGAGGTTCCAATATCCAATATGTTCCCTCCCCATCCTGGTTATCCGTTTTCTCCCTGATGTATTGTGCCGGTGTTGATGGTGTATGATGGGCGATGACAATCGTGGTGATGGTGATGGAAGCGGTGATGATGGTCGATGGTGGTGTTCGATGGTGATGGTAATGGTGATGCGTTTTCTCGCTGTTGATCTGCCTTGCACTCAGAGTTTGAGTGTGGACGCCTGCGTGCGGTTGACGCCAGGGGTCTGGGACGACGGCGGCGGCGGCGGCGGCAGCGGCCTATGCTGCGACGGGAGCGGCGCCTCGGCCTTCGCGCTCGGACGCACCCGTTTTTCCCTCTCCCCCCCTCGGGCGTTGCGTAAATGGGGAGGGGGGCGGTGAAGGGGGGGGGAAAAGAACCTTTTGTGCCCCGAAGGGGGTGCTGTCGGACGGGCCAAGAAGCTGGACGAAGCCGTTCCAGAGCGTTCCGTAATGCTCTTATGCGGCCGCGGCGCCCGAAACATCTTCCAACCTTGCCGATTCTCGAGGCTCCCGACTTGCGTCGGTAGGATTGTGTCTCGATTCTGCCTTCGTCCGACCTTGGGACCCAAAACGGGCACGAACGGTGCAACATTTCTCCCCCCCCCATCTGGGGGGTGTTCCAGAAAGGGCAGCACCTTCGAGGATCGAAGGAGTTGACATCTCATCCTCTGCGGAAGGCTGCGGCATGTCGGCGGAAGGCACCGGAAGCAAAACGGGGGCTGATGGGCCTGTTTTCCACCACCGCCACCATAACTTGGAGGGGTGAAGGAGGATGAGGACGAGGAGGAGGAGGAGGAGGACGAAGAGAATAAGGAGAAGGAGGAAGAGAGGAGGACCCCCTCTCCCTCCAATGGTGGTGGTGGTGGTGGAAAACAGACCCATCAGGGGCGGCTCCTCTGGCGGAAGCTGGCGGAAGGCCGACAGAAGCCGGCGCAAGCGAGAAGTTGCCCTCCAAGAGATAGCAGCACCTTTGGATTCAGGGTTTCCAGAGCTAGCCCGCCATTTGTCTAGGCCTCCCAGATGGGGTCGGATGATCACGCCGCATCGCCGGTGCATCGCCGATGCGGCTCGATGCGGGGCCTGATTTGCTTCATCGCCGACGTGGGCGATGCAGCGCCGACGTCGCCGTCTAGGACCCCATCTAGGAGGCTTGTAAACCCGCCTTTTGATCGCCCCAGATAAAATATGGAAGAATATGGGAAGTGCGGGGGAAGACGATCAACCAGAAAGTATGAGAAAATATGAGGAATCCTGGGATTTGTTTCTGTTTATTTGCGTGTCCCTGGGTCTCTTCACATTTGATCGCCCCCCATGAAGCAGCGCCCGACCCCCCATTTGCTTCACGGCGACGTGGGCGATGCAGCGCCGACGTCGCCGACGGATCGCCAGTGCATCGGCGATGTATCGGCGATGCGGCGCAATCCTCCGACCCCATATGCTCGGATCCCATCTAGGAGGCTTCTAGGGGACGAGGAGGAGGAGGAGGAGGAGGAGAGGGAGGGAGGAGGAGAGGGAGGAGGAGGAGGAGGAGGAGGAGGAGGAGGAGGAGGAGGAGATGGAGGAGAGGGAGGGAGGGAGGGAGGCCTCTAAGTGATCGCCCCCCCGTGAGGCAGCGCCCGATCCCCCCCCGAGAGGCCTGCGCCCGCGCCTGCGCCCACGCTGCCCCGGTGCCGTTCGCCGGCCACGCCCCCGCCGAGCGCGGCCCCGCCGGACCCCGCCGCGGGGGGGGGGGTCGGCGGGGCCCTCTCTCGGGGAGGCCCCTGAGGGGGGGGGGGGAGGAGGTGTTCAGCAGAGAGTGGAGGCCCATGCCGAGAAACACCCTGCTCGCCTCCAGGGCGTCCTGGGTTTCTTGGGTTTCGAGGGTGTTGCTGTGGAAGGCGTGACGTGCCCACACCAAAAATCAGAAGACGTCCTGGGGTCTCAGGGTTTGGTTTCTTGTGGAAGGTTTCTTGAGGACTGGCCTCCACTGTACCTGATACGACCCCGAATCCCAGCAACACCATGAGTTCATGACCTAACTTTCGAAGACGAACAAAAACACGCCACAAATACAAACTTTTGGCGCTCCGCGCGAATTTCTTGGACCTGCGCTGGGGTCCCCTGGCGGAGGTCCTGGGGGGGGAGGAGGAGATTTCGGAGCAGATGGGGTCGGAGGATCGTGCCGCATCGCCGGTGCATCGCCGATGCGGCTCGATGCGGGGCCCGAATTGCTTCATCGCCGACGTGGGCGATGCAGCGCAGACATCGCCGAGAGAAGGCGGGGCCCTCTCTCGGGGAGGTCCCCGGGGGGAGGAGGAGGAGGAGGAGGAGCTCAGGCGATCGCAAGCATGGATCAAGGGGGCGTGGATTGGCGACGGGTCTCGTTTCCTTGGGAAATCGCCGATTTCCGCCGCCGAGCGAGGCGGCACCGGCCGTATTTTGGGGATGGCACCTGCCCCGATCCATGTTTGCGCGTCCTCGAGTTGTACGCACGCGTCATACGAACCCCAATTTCGACGAAGCAAAAACGCAACGCCAAACACATCAACTTTTGGCGCTCCGCGCGGGTTTCTAGGACCTGCGCGGGGAGCCCCCTGGCGGCGCCTCCAGCGCCGCCCCTGGTGCGCTCCGCGGGGATCCAAGAAATCCGCGCGGAGCGCCATTAGTTCTTTTGTTCCTCTATAGTCCCAACAACACTATGAATTCGTGACCTGAGTTAGGTTCCCTGTTTTCAGGGGTACCCTGAAGCTGATGGGCGGTCTCGTTCACTACACCTGCAAGAAGGCCATTTTTTATTTCCAATTCTTCTGGCCCTTTTAACTCGTGTCCCCTCCCGAAAGGTTTGGAACACCTTTGTTGCTTATGATGATTTCACCAACATCGGTCTGTTCAGGAACTCACTGGCACCGATTGCAACAACGCGAACGGGTCGGATGACAACCGAAGCGAAATGTACAGTCTAGCTTATCCTCAGGGTTTGAACCCCCCCTTGGGCTGCCTTTGGTCATCGTCGCTGCGTCCCCGCCGTGGGCGCTGCTGGCGGCCGCCAGCGCCGGCGCCGGCGCCGATGGGGGGGGGCGGGTTTGAATCCCCCCCCCCTGGGAGAAGTGGGGGGTGGGGGGGGGGTTTTGAACCCCCCCCCTTGGGAGGGGGGGGGGCTCGGGAGGGGACAACTCGCTACAGTGCTCAAGACAAGTCAGGATCTGCCACAGGTAAAAAAACCGGACACTTGCCGTATGATTGGGCACGATTCGCAACAATTATCAATGTTAGTTCCAGTGCACACGGCAAACACCGATCGTAGCAACGAGTCCAATGATTAGATGCAGATTGCTTAGCCAATCACTTCCAGCGTGTATATATTTCTAGCTAGCTGTGGCTCATTCAACCTGTACGTGTCAGCTCAGTGTCGTTGTTGATCGACCAGATCGCAGCCAGGGTTTCAGGAGGACGAGGGGAAGGAGGAGGAGGAGGAGGAGAGGAAGGATGAGAGTGAGGAGGAAAAAGGAGGAGGCAGGGGAGGAGGGAGAGGAGCAGGCGTTGCAATACAGCATATATGCTTGCCTCGGGTCAGCCTCAGGGCTGAACTAAAACGCGGTTTTGCTGGATTTCGGCTATTTTCCCCCCCCCCCCCCCCCCCCCGCTTTGGCAGTACAGGAAAACAGGTAGAGAAAAACGAACAACAAAACGACAAAGAACGTTTAGATCCAACCCTGGTTAGCCTGAGACAAGCCAGTTGCGAAACGCTTCTTGTCGGCGGAGCTGGTGGACAAAGCGCGATTGCAGAGCCGGCGGTCTGCGCCAGGCACACTAGAACGGCGGACAAGCAGTGACGGCCGCGGAGGTGGAAGGAGGCAGGAGGAAGGAGGAGGACGTGGAGGAGGAGGTGGCGGAGGCCGAGGAGGTGGAGGAGGAGGTGGAGGAGGAGGAGGTGGAGGTGGCGGAGGAGCAGCCACTGCTACGGCCGCAGCGACGACCCGAGCCGCCGAGAGTCGGCGAGGTGGGGCTGCGCCGGCGGCCTCGGGCACCATGAACAGGCGTAGACCCAGGCGTGTGCAAACCCGGGCGGGCACGAAGCGGGGCAGAGTGGCAGCATCGCGGGGCTGGCCGCCAGCGAGTGAGCCGAGGGCGAGGTGCGAAGCAGAAAAGGCGGGCGAAGGGAGCAAGGTGTCCCTATCTCTGGAGACGGGGACACGTTTTCGACATTAGCGAGAACAAGCACAACAACAGCAATCACAACAATCACAACCACAGCCACAACCACAACCACAACAACCACAACCACAACCACAACAGCAACCACAACCACAACCACAACCACAACCACAGCCACAACCACAACAGCATCAACAAGAGGAGGAAAGAAGAGGAGGGGGGATGAGAGTAAGGAGGATGGTGAAGTGGGGGTGGTCGGTCCAGCTCGAAACATGCAGCAGGACGGTGAGGTCCAGGGCTCCAGACGTGATTGTTCGCGCTGTTGCATTTTGTTCGCAACGTCGGATCTGAGGGTCCAGGGAACGTCTTCCGGACCCAGGCCCGTCAGAAAACAATCCGGGATGAAACCCGGCCTGGGGAAGGGGCCAGGAATTTATGGGGACCGCGTCCTGAAGATAATCACGTCAACGGAGATGTTGGGAACTGGATCTGGCGTTGCCAGCAGATCGCGACCAGAGCCGCCGACCGCTTCGTTTTGCTGGACATGTTCGAGCCGCATCGATGTGCGAGGGCCTTAGGCCCCAACATGGGGAGAGAAGGTTAGCCGTGCAGTAGACACATAGAATAAGATGTCGGTCTGCCAGCAGGTGCCCGATGGAAATTCCTCATCCCCTGAGGACCCCAGGGACCCACAGAAGCTCTTGGGTACCTGAAGACCCTAACCGATCGACGAAGAATGGGCCCCAATGGATGTCTTATCAGAGTGAGGGGGCCGAACGGTCATTCACTGCCCCTGGGTGCGCGGCTGAAGTAGGCGTCCGCGGTGCGGATTGTTGTTGCTGTTGTAATTGTTGTTGTTGTTGTTGTTGTTGTTGTTGTTGTTGTTGTTGTTGTTGTTGTTGGTTATCGGTGTTGGTTTGTATTGGTGTTGTTGTTGCTGTTGATATTGATGCTAACACTGTTGTTGTTTGCTGTTGCTGGTGGTGTTGTTGCTGCCGTTGTTGTTGGTGTTGGTTACTGTTGTTGGTTAGTTGTGGTGCTGTTGTTGTTGTTGCTGCTGGTGCTGTTGTTGCTGTTGTTGCTGTTGTTGCTGTTGTTGCTGTTGTTTATATACTGTTGTTGTTAGTTGTTGTTAGTTGTTGTTTGTTGTTGTTTGCTGTTCGTTGTTTGTTGTCGTCGTCCCGCCCGCGACGCACCCGTGACCCACCCGCGACCCACCCGCGACTCACTCCGCGACCCACCCGCGACCCACCCCTTGACCCACCCGCGACCCACCCGCGACCCACCAGTGACCCACCCGCGACCCACTCGCGACTCGCCCGCGCCCCACCCGCGACCCACACCCCGCGCCCGCCCCCTCACTCTTATCGGCAACTGCGGAGTGCTACACAGCAAGACTTCTTATCTCATGCGTCTATGGTATTTGCACGGCGACGGGATCAGAGGGTCGGGTCGGGGCCACCTGGACCTCGTGGCCTTTTGGGGCATTTGTCGCGCCCCTCTCTCAGGCAAGATGACAGTGAGGGTAGGGGGGGAGGGGAATCAGGGGGGGGAGGGGAGGGAGGGGGGGGGGAGGGGGGGGGAGGGGGGGGAGGGGGGGGGGGGAGGGGGGAGGAGAGGGGGGGGAGGGGGGAGGGGGGGAGGGGGGGGGGAGGGGGGAGGGGGGGACATCAGGGGGGGGATCCATCGACCCCCACGCCCATTGATCGCCCATAGGGGCTCGGTTCCAGTGCGCCTCGGGTTTCTGGGGAAAAGAGCCCGAAGCTCCATACTGCAGTGGATGTGGACAGAATTATTGCCCGCAGATCAGGGCGCAGGCCTGGCTGGGACCGCCGCCAGTGTGTGTGGCGGGAGACCCTCGCCGTGTTGGAGTTCGTTGGTTTTGAGTCGGGCCTGTCCCTCTACAGGAGGAATATATTTAGGCCTCCCAGATGGGGTCGGAGCAGATGGAGTCGAAGGATCACGCCGCATCGCCGATGCATCGGCGATGCGGCTCGATGCGGAGCCCGATTTGCTTCACGTCGACGTCGCCGATGCATCGCCGACGTCGGCAATGCGTCGCCGTTGCATCGCCGATGCATCGCCGATGCATCGCCGATGCATCGACGATGCATCGCCGATGTATTGGCCATGCGGCGCGATCCTCCGACCCCATCTACCCGGACCCCATCGAGGAGGCCTCTTTTATAGAAAAGTAGTATTGTCACGATTTTTTATATCAGTTGAATATTTGTGTCACTTTTTACGTTTCCTCCAAAATCCGCCAGTGGTGGGACATGCCCGACAAAATTTTTCCTCCTCCGTCCCCGCTTTGACGCTCAAGTGCGAGCAAACCCGCGCACCACGATAACCCACGCTGCATAATTCTACTAGTATTGTTACCAAGCCACCTCCCAGTGCCGACCATGCAGTCCTGGATCAACTTCGCTGGCGTGCTCGGTGTTGCCTTGGCCTTCGGGTCGCACGAGGCGTATGCAAGCAGCGTCCTTGGAGGACGTAAGAACTCGCTCAGGGGAGAGATCGACGCTACGGCGTTTAGGGCAGAAATCCATAATGCCATGGCAGAGACTCTCGGCTGCGGTCGCCTGGTCGACGAAGCGCAGCTGTCGGAGATCGAGCGTGTGCTCTCGCCGATGTGGGAGGCCTCGCCGAAGAACACGAACGGGCGGATTGAGCGCGGCCAGCTGCGCTACCTTGCCTACCGCTACTTCATGCGCCGCTTCTCTGTGATGATCCGCGGCTTCGAGCCGTCTCGCCCACTGAATGCATCGGAGTGGGGCGCCGCAGACATCCTCAGCCAGCAGGTGCCGGCATTTGTGGAATCCACTATGGAGTCCCATCGTGTGGCAATGCACGGTTTTGATTTGCGAGACGCGGTGCACTTGGTTGCAACGCTCGAACAGTTGATTTGGGACTCGGAGACCACCCTGCTTGAGCAGGTGTACCACAGGCAGATGAGGCCAGTGCACGACCAGATCACTCGCAACGGCCTCTCAAAGATACTCCAGGAGTACGCGATGAAATGGATCCTCGGTGAGCAGATCACACCAGCGGTCACGCCTGGGCTCCTGAACAACCCGAAGGTCCTGGAGGGTGCCTTCCCGATGTGGCCTACGATCGTCGCTTTCCTCGAGGGTCAGATCAGGGCCCTGGACTTCAAGCGGCAGCGTTTGCCCACACGCAAGGGCGCCAGCGGTCTGGCGCAGCAGTACTCCTTCCACGACGCCCACGAGATTGTTGGAGGCATCACCCAGAACTTCGCCTCGTTCTGGGAGTCGGAGTGCACTGAGATGAAGGACCAGCTCATCGCGATGGACACCCACGGCACGGGCCGCGTGCCGCTGTCGAAGTTCTACGGCACTGGGCTCGATGCAGACTGGCGGTTTGCCGAGTCGGAGTCCTACCTGCGCGAGCTGGGGGCCCTGGATGAGACGTCCACATGGCAGGGCAAGCAGGTCATCATTCCGAACTACATCCAGGCCGCCTCAACCGAGCAACACACACATACCAAGAATAAGTAACTCGCGTATGCGTAGGCCGACACTGGTAGAACGGCACCCGCCCAGACACCCTCACGAGCACAAGCCCCTCCTCCTCTTCCTTCTCATGCTTTTCCTCTGTTCGAGTCCGGTGTCATTGCAGGTTTTTGCCTCTGTTGCCCTGCCACCTGCACGACACCCGACGGCCTCGTGGACCGAGCATCGGCCACGCTGCCGGGACACGTTCCGTACACGTTCGTGGCGGTTTCATCCCTTTCAGTGTTGATTCTTCTCCGGTAGCAATTCATGGGAGCATCGTATGTCTTAGAAATTCCGTCTTCGGAGTGCAAGTGTGGTAGCGTCGGGTAGTCGATGATAAGCGTCAGTTTAGCGTCGATCTAGAGTCGACGTGCGTCGATTGGCGTGATTTGCCAGCAGGATGGCATGGGAGGCTCCCATGAGTTGCTACAGGACTACCCCAGTCATCCCAGAAAAAAACGCACGGGACAACAACAAAAAACGTCCAGGCCGCCTCGAACTGCATCGTCTCCACGCCGCACTACCTGGTGTGCTGCGCGAGCACCTGCGAGGCCCTCCTCGGGGAGCTCGAGGCCGGCGTCGGCAGGCCCGTGGGGACGAGCGAGGAGATCCTGCAGCTGGTCCGCGGCATGGCGTCGCCAGCCGCGCTCGACGGCGACGAGCCCCCGCGCCTCATGGGCACCCTTGCCGCGCAGCTCGATCAGATCGCCTCCGCCCACGGCGGCAAGGTCCCTTCCTCGGGGCCAGGAGCATGCCCGCTGGACTATGTTATGCTCGTCCGCCACTTGAGGGCAAATGGCGGCCCCAACACTGCGTGTGCGTATACATATACACATTCTTATATATATGCAGGTAGATGTATATGTATGTGTATGCATATGTATATATATGTATGTATGGGTACGAGTGACATAGGTTTGTTTATCTATATATATATATATATATATATATATATATACACCTATATCTATATAAGCACACCTATGTTTATATTAGCACCTGTCGCCCAGAGAGCTGGCCAGGAAATGATGCACTACACGTGGTCCTGCGGCACCTCTGCAAAATACCACGGGACAGTGCCCCCTGGAGGCCTTAGGTCATATACAGTGGAGACCCATGCCAAGAAACACCTTGCTTGCCTCCAGGGTGCCCTGGGTTTATTGTGTCTCGAGGGTTTTGACATGGAAACCGCGACGTTTCCACGCCAGAGCTCAACGTAAGTCTAGGGGTATGTGGGTTGGGTTTCTTGTTGGGAGGCTTCTTCTGGTCGAGCCTCTACTTCACGCGCGGTTCCCACCCACCCCCTCCCCAGGGCATCCCCCTCCTCCTCCTCCTCCTCCTCTCTCCTCCTCCTCCTCCTCCTTTCCTCCTCTCCCCCCCCCTCCTCCTCCTCTTCCTCCTCCTCCTCCTCCTCTCCTCCTCCTCCTCTCTCCTCCTCCCTCCCCTCCTCCTCCTCCTCCTCCTCCTCCTCCTCCTCCTCCTCCTCCTCCTCCTCCTCCTCCTCCTGTGTGGAAATTCACAGGGCATTGCAGGTCTGGGTCGGTAATGCGTGTGCGAGGAGGCAGGTCTCCCCAGAAGGCGGGAGGGCCTTCTCGGAAACCCTCCAGTCTTCTGAGAATTCGCCTCCTTTGCGTAAACATGCGTCGGAGAAGAAACAACGCCATAAACATAAACTTTTGGCGCTCCGCGCGGGTTCCTTGGATGTGAGTTGGGTCCCCCTGGCGGCGCCTCCGGCGCCGCCCCTGGCGCGCTCCGCGCGCCAGGGAGGGGGGTTCAGCGCAGATCCAAGAAATCCGCGCGGAGCGTTAAAAGCTTGTGTTTATGTCGTTTTGTCTTCTTCTATGCAGTCAACCCGCATATTAAGGATGGGCAATCTTCCAGAAGGTACTTTTGCATCCTTCCCCTTCGGCCCATCCTTGGCCGCTTTCGCTGGCCGCGCCCCGCTTGCAGAGTGTCGACATGGCCTTACAAGGCCCTTGCATCCTTACCGCGCATCCTTCTAATACGGGTTGATTGTAAGCTTTGGGAGCTCCGCGTGGATTTCTTGGATCGACGCTGGGCCCTCCCTGGCGGCGCCTCCAGCGCCGCCCCTGTCGCGCCCCGCGCGCCATGGAGGGGGGGGGGGGTTGGCGCCGATCCAAGAAGTTTGCGCGGAGCTTCAAAAGTTCATGGCTGTGCTGTTTTTCTTTTCGATTCTTCGGAGAAGGCTTAGCACATTTCTCCGACGGCCGGGTGCCTTCCGAGCCTTCTGAGGAGGCCCGCCCACTAGCGGACGCCAGGTGGCTTGTGGGTCATCGCTCGGCCCTCCAGCGGCCGTTTTTCGACGATCCAGGCATCCTTTGAGCGTTCTCGGCGACGCGCAGCCGCTGGAAGGCACCGCGAGGCCGAACACCCGCCGAGCACCGGCGAAACTCCCCCGGGGCTCGCCGCCGAGTTTCTGCCAGAGGTCCTCGGGATCCTTGAGACGGGGGTCAATGCAAACGGGAGTCAGCCATAGCGCCGAGTCTTGCAGAATCCTGCCCCAAGCCAGGGTTGCATGGACCCAGGCAATATTACGCGCAGCATCTTGCAGGACACAGCCCCGATGGGCCCTGGTTTGCTTTGACCCGGGTTAGTGCGCCTCGAGGGGAGAAGGAGGAGGAGGAGGCGGAGGAGGAGGAGGAGGAGGAGGAGGAGAGGAGGAGGAGGAGGAGGAGGAGGAGGAGGAGGAGGAGTTGGAGTTGGAGTTGAAGGGAGGGAGGGAGGGAAGGGGGGGGGGGGAGGGAGGGAGGGAGGGGGGGGAGGGAGGGAGGGGGGAGGGAGGGGGGGGGGGAGGAAGGGAGGGAGGGAGGGAGGGAGGAGGGAGGGAGGGAGGGAGTGAGGGAGGGAGGGAGGGAGGGAGGAGGAGGGAGGAGGAGGAGGAGGAGGAGGAGGAGGAGGAGGGAGGAGGAGGAGGAGGAGGAGGAGGAGGAGGAGGACTCTAGAGGTCCCCCTGCACGGCCGCCTGTTCGCCCAGTGGCTCCACTACGCCTTCCCGCGGGACTGCCCCTTCCCGCACCGGGCCGGCACCGCGTCGGCGCGCACGCCCGCGCAGTTCGGCCAGGGCTACCTCGCCACGAGGGAGGAGATGACGAGCCAGGCCCAGGCCGAGAACGCCTCCGAGGTTCGGGGGGGGGGGCCCTAAAGTTAAGTCGGGCGTGTCCCTCTGCAGGAAGAGTATATTCAAAAACAATGCAAAAATCAGTCAGGGGAAGATGTTTCTATTATTCTCGGCCATGTTCGACCATGTTTTGACTATTTTCCTTTTTTTCGTCCAAATCCGCCTGCAGGAGGGCACGCCCGACCTAACCCTAAAACAGGACTGCTTTGTAGAGTTTGGGGGACAGGCCCAGGACATCCTGGACCAGCCTGTGAGGGGCCTTCCAACGGAGGGGGAGGCCTTCCTCACGAGGGAGAGGTCATCCTCAGGAATGACGATGCAGCTTCCAGCAAGGAGAAGCCGGCTCTCTGGAAGGACACCCCTGCCTCTGGAGGGAAACACATTCTTCAGAAGAGAAAGCAGCTCGCAAGGGACGATCAGCATCCCCCTGGAGAGAAAACCCTTCCTCGGGAGGAAACGCCGCTTCTCAGAAAGGGAAGTAGGGAGCAGAACAAGTCACCCACAGGGTCGCTACAAGAATCGCGACGAGAATCACGCCTCCTGCCTCGCGGCCTGGATGCCAAAGGTGCCCCCCTCCAGGGCGGCGGCGCGAGGGCGCGAGGGCGCGAGGTTGCCGGTGCGTCACGCGTCTCGGGGCATGGTGCGCCAAGTTAGGCGGCATAGATAATCATTCGCCGGCCCCTCGGGGGCGCAGTGTCGTGGAGGCTCCGGCTCGGCTGCTGCGCTGCGTTGATCGTGCTGTCTTCTGTGATGTGTCGCGCAGCTCGTGGCCACCGGATTCGCGCCCTTCTGTGCACGCCCATGCTCGGGCACACACGTGCAGGGGTTTCGCGCTCAGGGCGGGCTCCCCTCCCCTCCCGCGTGCTCCTCCTCTTCCCGCCGCCTGCTGTGCCCACTTAGGCCACGTGCTTCCCGCGTCTGCCTCCGAACGCGACGGGGACCCTCGCTGCTGCGACAACGATGCAGTGGAAGCCCATGCCAAGCAGCACCCTGCCTGCCTCCAGGGTGGCCTCGTTTTCTTGGGCTTCGATGGTTCTGTGATGGAGAGTGCGACGACCCCACACCAAAAATCCATGGACGCTCTGGGGTCTCAGGGTTGGGTTCCTTGTGGAAGGCTTCTTTCGGCGGCGAGCGAGGGGGGAAGTCAGAAGGGGCAGGCCTTCTCAGAAGGCTCGGAAGTCCCCCGGACCTCTGAGAAGTTTTCTCAGCCTTCCCCGAACTCAGGAGAAAACCCCTCATAAGGCCCGAGGGCTTCTGAGAAGTCCCGCCGCCTTCTGAGAAGGCCTTCTCCTTCTCACTTCCCCCCCCTGGCTCGGCGCCAACTCTTGTGGTCGAGCTCCTACTGCAGGATGTCTGCCGCGTGTCTCTCTGGCCACGTCTCCGCGCCGCGGTCTGCCAGGGGGCCAGCGGCGTCGCGAGAGGCCACCTGTGCAGGGACGGGGGGCTCCCCCAAGTTTTAAGTCGGGGGTGTCCCTCTACAGGAGAAATATCCAGAAATTGTCCAGCATAGTCAGGGAACGATTTGTTTCGTATTCTTTCGTATGTTTGAACATAACATTGACTATGTTTCATTCTCCTCTACAGGAGGAATATTCCAAATTAGTCAAGATTGTTCCACTACGTTTGAGCATTTGTGGTGCGTTTTTATGTTTTTCAAATCGTTTCCAATATTCGCCTGTAGAAGGACATGCCCGACCTAACCCAAGCTCCGGGCCGCTCTCTCGATGACCCCAGGACCCCCACGGGGGCGCAACCCACGCTGCCAGGAGGTCCCAAGAGGTCTCGGAGGCGGCCCCGGGAGGCTTCGGAGAGAGAGTGAGGCCCAAGAGGGCCCCCAAGGCGCTCCAGAGTTCTTTTTTAATGCCAGAAGTTCCCCAGACGCCCCAAGATGGCCCCCAGAAGCCAACATCAGAAATCTCAGAAGCTTTGACAGATTTTTGCGTCCTCGCATTTCCGAGCCTACAAAAGCCCAGGACGTCCCCAAGACAGCACGAACAAGGCTTTAATAGACCCCGACAGGCAGGCCAGAAACGAAAGAGCCGCCAAAACGCCCCCAAGAAGCCGCCATGTGGGCCCCAGGAGGAAGATGAAGAGAAGGCGGAGGAGGAGGAGGAGGAGGAGAAGGAGGAGAAGGAGGAGGAGAAGGACGATATGGATGATGATGATGTTAAGGATGAAGAGCGGAGGCAAGAGGAAAGGAACACATTGAGGAAACGGAGCTGGAAGCGGAAGGGGAACAATACTCGCATAAGAGGAACCGGGACGGAGGAGGAGGAGGAGGAGGAGGAGGAGGAGGAGGAGGAGGAGGAGGAGGAGGAGTTGGAGGAGGAGAGAGAGAGAGAGAGAGGAACGGCGATGAGAGGAGGAAAAGAGGGAGGGAGCGGGAGCGGACGGTCGCCACGTCCCGATTCCTACGCGCTCCTGGCGCGCCAGTGCGCGAAGCGCGCCGCCTCCCGGACAGACTGCCTATTGGGGGTAGCCGTGCGCGGGCGCAACCTCCGGTGCGCGGTCTCCGGGGGGGGGCGGGGGCGGCGGGGTGCCAGGGGGGCCCAACCCGAGCACGACGCAGGCCGACGTCGCACCGCGTGCGGCGCTCTGCACGCCGCGCACCCAGGCAGGGGCATGGCCCATGGCTGCCTGGAGCCTCGCTCTCTTACGGTGGGAGCCCATGCCAAGAAGCACCCGGCCTGCCGCCAGGGTGGGCTCCTTGGGTTTCGATGGTTCTGCGATGGGAAGCGTGGCGTTCCCACGCCAAAAATCCATGGACGTCCTGGGATCTCAGGGTTGGGTTTCTTGTGGGAAGTGTCTTCTGGAAAGCGTGACGCTCCCATCCCTAAAATCCGTGGACGTCCTGGGGTCGCAGGGTTGGTCTTCTCGTGGAAGGTCGTCGGTCTTAGGCGCCGGTCGTTGAAAGTAGGATGTGTTTGGACTGCCAGATCCCAGTCTACTTCTAGCGCGCCTTCCTGCTTGAAGCATCGATGTTTTTGGTTGTGTGCTGTTATTCTCTGGGCGGGGCCCGAGCCCAATCTACTTTATCCGCCTTCCTATCTCATGTTTCTACCTACTCCTTCCGTCCGGCGTGTACGTGTAGCCGAAGATACACCGGAAAAGCAAACAACATCATGGACATCATCTTTCGGAGGTCCGCGTGGAATTCTCGGGTCGGTGCTGGACCCCCCCCCCCCCTGGCAGCACCCTCCAGCTCTGCCGCCGGCGCTGCCGCTCGCGGCTCCGCATGCCAGTGGCGGCGCCTACCCAGAGAGTTGCGCGGACTTCCGCGTGCCGAGCAGATGTCGGAGGTTCGGCGCGTAAAAAAACATTCTACATGGAGGATACTCTGGCAGGCGTCTTAGGGCAGCGCGCCGCTCTTAGCCAGATCTGGAGCCCCGGAGGGGCCCGCGACCTCGCGTTCCCCGGCGCTTCCGGCATCGACCTGCGCTCCCGGCATCGATTTGGCGCTACCCCTTCTGAGGTCAATGTAGCATTGAGGCAGGCTTAGCCAACCTCTCTTTCTTTCCAGTGACTGGGCAGCCCCCAGTCTTTCTCACTACACGCCTTTGTGAACAGAAGGGGGCGTTTGATATTGACGCCCGCGCGCCGATACGGTGGGGGCGCCCTGAAGGATTTCTCATCTGATGAGGGCCGCGGTAAGCTCTTTATGGCTAAGCCTCAATGGGTGTCCCACCGGCTTCAAGACCCTGGCTTCCTTATCCGATGGTTCTTTGTTGAATGCCCTCACCGTGCTTGTAATTACCCTTCCCTCGTTTTTCGCCCGTTGGGGGCCTCCCCGTCCTCGGGGGCCCTCGTCACCACGGCTGGATTCACTTTGGAGTTATGGTCACAAGGCACCCCTGGAGAGGTCCAGGGAGTAGTGGGAACCGGTGATCCTTGTTATTCACCTGGAGGCGTCGCAGATGTCGAGCCTCCTGGACAGGGAGGAGCTGCCTTGGATGTCCCAGTGGAGCGACGAGGAGGAGCTAATCGCAGACTACCGCCTCCACTTGCGCGCGCCTTGGGAGGGAGGCAGGGCTGCCGGGCTGGTGGGGGCCGCGATGCTCGTCGCGGCGGGCTTGTACGGAGCCATGAGCGTCGCGACGACATCCAAAGCAGGCAGTGTGCTCCCCTACCACCAGAAGGCCCATTTCGTCTGAGAGAAGCTGGCTCTCTCCGCGGGCGTTCCTCCGGACTCATGGCGGATCTTGCAGGCGCGGCCCGGTTCCCATGGAAGCGCGGAGGCGCCATGTAAATACATCGCCTCCTCTCCATCCTCTCCCTCTTCGGTCCTCCCCCTCTGTCTGCCGTTCCCTTCTCGATCATACGTGGTCCATCCTCCCTCTCCTTCCTCGTCCTTCTCTCTGGACTTCCGGGGGTGGGGGGGGCAAGGACCAACGATGGCCTCGTGGAGGCCTCCGGGAGCATTGGAAGAAAAGGTGGCGCAGCGAGGTTTACGGTGGCGACCCATGCCAAGAAACGCCCTGCTCGCCTCCAGGGTGCCCTGGGTTTCTTGGGCTTCGATGGATTGGGGATGGAAAGCGTGACGCTCCCACCCCAAAAATCAGTGGACGTCCTGGGGTCTCAGGGCTGGGTTCCTTGTGGAAGGTTTGTGGTGGTCAGGCCCCTACTGTAAAGGGGACTGCGCGGGGCCACGGGCTCACGCAGCCGGTCCCAGCGGGACGTCGCGGGGGACCGCAGACCGGTGGGGCCTTCCTTAGTCTTAAGTCGTGCTTGTCCCTCGATATTGGGAGTCCTTTAAAATAGTCAAAAAATAGTAGGGGTACGATGTTTGGACTATGTTGGATCATTTTGGTATAGTATATTTGTTGTTTGGTTTTTATTACGGGCCAAACATTCGCCTGCAGGAGGGCATGCCCGACCTAAGGGTAGTCTCGGCCTCCAGGCTCGATGATGAAGTTTGTTTTTTGTCACGTTTCATGCATCCGTGGGCGTCCTGAGGCGCCCTCATTGCAGGACCGAGTCTTCCCCGAAATCTGTGCCAGAGCTCTTTTCTGGAGAGGTCGGGAAGGCCCCCGGGGAGCGTCCAGTCAGCCTCCAGGGTCTCCTACCAGGACCCCCCGCGCGGTGTTTAATTACTTCCGCGACGCGGTCCCACAGAACTTTCGACATCCGCGGGGCAGATTTCTTGTCGCGGGGGCGTGTTTTGATGGTCCTGGGGCTGGTGAACAGCCCCCAAATGCTGGGATTGCAAAAATCTGGTCGCCATGAGTTGTTAGGAGGCGCTGGAGGCTTGGAGGAGCGGGGAGGCACACCGTTAAGGTTAAGCCGGGCACGTCCCTCTGCAGGAGGAATATCCAAACATAGTTTAAAACATTGTCTGGGGACGAGTTGTGTTAGCATCTTCTGATTATTTTGGTGTATTTTGAATTTTTCGCCCCGAACCCGCCTGTAGGGGGACATGCCCGACCTAACGTTAAGGCTTCGACGCCGCCTACTTCTCCTTTACCTGTCGTCCTTCCTTCCCCCTGCCTTCCCTCTTCTCCCTAGCAGCTGTTTGTCCCGTTCTGTTCTCGGGATGTACTTGTGGACTCGTGCGTGCACACGTGCACCCAGTCGCGGGTGGGTCGCAGATGGGTCAAGGGCGGGTCGTGGGGCGGGTCGTTGGGTCGTTGGGCGACGGCGACAGCCCGACAGGAGAACCATCTGCCCTCCCCCAGAACTCTACTCCAGCCACCTTCCGTTCGGCCCTCTCACTCTGATTGGTTCGTCGCCTTCGGTTACTTTAGAAAAGCAGCATCCCAGGAGGAAGTCTCCTGTGTGATGGCGCATTTGTGCGCGCGTGTGTAAGCCCATCATGTGCATGCTTCTTTCCTTGGCTCGAGCTTGGCGCCCACTTGGCCGTCCCGCACCGCGATGTCAGCGATGTCCAGGCACGAGGTCCGCCGGCGGTGCTCCTTCCTTGTGGCCTGTGGAGGGCTCTGGGCACTTCTGCGGACGTCGCGGGCACTGTCCTGGTGTGGCGCACTGCCAGGTCGCATCAGAGGCGTAGAAACGCGAACCTCGATGACCGCAATCATGGATGTGCCTTCTTCCTTTCAGCGCCTGGTGGCAGCGAAGGCCGGGGAGAGCGTCAAAGCAGTGGCAACCGTCATAGAGGAGCAGACCCCAGAACCAGGAGAAGGCGAGGTGCTTCTCCGGGTCATGACAGCTGGGATCAACGGGGGTTGCGAGACTTTCCGGGCTCGTGGTGAGCGCGCATTTGCTGGAATGCGAGGAGTTTCGAATTATGCGCTGGGCTCAGAAGGAGCAGGCGTCGTTCTTCGTGTAGGGCCTGGGGCCAGCTTGCTGCCCGGAGACGCTGTTGCCTTTGTTGGTAGCGCTTTCGCCGAGTTGAACATTGTCAAGGCAAGCGCATGTCATCTTTTCGGGAAGGTGGATAAAGTAGGACGAAATGGTTTTCGAGAGGCCACTGCCTTACGTATCTCGGGGCTGACCGCTCTGGTAGCCTTGGAGCTGACAGGCCAGATCCAATCAGGGCAGACGGTTTTGATCACCGCTGCAGCTGGAGGCACTGGGCACTTTGCTGTGCAAATCGCCAAATTGAATGGCGCCCGCGTGATCGCAACATGTAGCACAAAAGCAAAGGCAGATTTTCTCCGCAGCCTCGGGGCTGATCGTGTGGTGGTTTACACGGAGGAAAGTCTGTCGGACGTACTGCAGACAGAGTTCCCCGCGGGTGTGGATCTCGTTTACGAAGGCGTTGGCGGCGAATTACATAAAGTGGCGCTGGCTCATCTGAAGGAGGGTGGCTCTCAGCTACAAGTCGGGTACATTTCCCATTACCCGCAAGCTGCCGGTCACGATTCAGACCCAGGCTCCGATCAGGGAGAGTCCTTAGGGGATGCTTTCTGGGGTGGCAAGAGGTGGGAGCTTGCTGGGAATAGGACCGTGTTCTTCAATGTGTGGGAGGGCATGAGGCGATCTCCTGGGGCCCAACCACTTGCCAGGCTCTTCGCCTTGTGGCTCGCTGGGGACTTGAAGGCCACGGTTGATCCAAGATCGTTTTCTGGTCTGGAGCATGCTGGAGAGGCAGTCGATTATATGATGAGCGGTGTTTCAACGGGTAAGGTTGTCCTTGAGATTCCAGTCCCAGTGTCAAGTAGCTCTTCTGAGTCTGACAGAATTTTGAAGGCTGAGGCTTGATTGGTACCCTTGTCAGGAAGACCGCGTGCTGTTGATCCGTGAGATCTTGATCACGCTTCGTTGCACGTGTTCGTAGGGCAACCGTGCATATGTACATCTGTGTAATACTTCGCGGGGGATGCTCTTTTCGATCGTCGCTCGATCTACAAGTTTTCTTGCCTGTGCCATGATGACTTGTATTAGCTGGTGGTTCGCCCACGACGCCAAGTGTGGGTCACTCTGTGTTGACGGAACTGCCCGACAAGTTTCTGCGCCTGCATGTTTCGATCTGGCACTCCGCGTGCGTGGACGTGCCAGTAATTTTCACTCGAGTCCGTCGGCGTCGCCATCAGTGCTCGTCATCGGCGACACCTGGATACACTCCTTCCCCCGCCCACTGGGACCTCTGGGACCCTGGGACTCGTGGGGCCTGCTGGACCTGCTGGACTTGCGGGACTCGTGGGGCCCGTGGGGCCTTTGGCCTTTTGGGGACAGGGCTGAACCCAAACGCTGTGTTGCTGGACTTCGGCAGTTTTTTGTTTTTCGTTATGGCAGGGAGGTACAGGCAAACGGGGAGAGCAAAACGAAAACAACACGAAAACAACACAACGTTTAGGTCCAGCCCTGTCTGGCATCTGTGGGACTTGTAAGACCTGCGGGACCACCTGTGGGACCAGTGCGGCCTGTACGACCCACAGGACCTGCGCCCGCCCAGATCAAACAATGTGGCCGGCATGGCTGCGAGAGCCAGGTTCCTGCAAACCGGCTGGCGAATCAGGCGGTCTCGGGCTCCCCGTCCCCCTTATGGCAGTTTTTTTTCGCAACCATCCTGTGGTGTTGGGTCTTCGTTTTGAAGAGACGGTCCCCGCGTCCCTCCTCTCCTCTACTCCCCTCCTCCCCGTCCTCCCTCCTCCTCCCCCTCCTCCCCCTCCTCCTTCCTCCTTGCGCTTCACCCACCCAGTGCAGCGCTTCAGGGCCCCATAGGAAGCTCCACGCAAGGCCCTAGTGGGGGTGGTCACATGCGTCCGCCACACCCAGTACACCGCTTCCTGGCCCCATAGGAAGCTCCACCTAAGGCCGCAGTGGGGGTGGCCACATGCGTCCGCCACACCCAGCACAGCGCTTCGTGGCCCCAAAGGAAGCTTCACCCAAGGCCCTACTGGGGGTGGCCACATGCGTCCGCCACACCCAGCACAGCGCTTCGTGGCCTCATAGGGAGCTCCACCCAAGGCCCCAGTGGGGGTGGCCACATGCGTCCATTAACCCAGTACAGCGCTTCGTGGTCCCATAAAGTGCTCCACCTGCGGCCCCAGTGGGGGTGGCCACATGCGTCCGCCACACCCAGTACAGCGTTTCGTGGCCCCATAGCGAGCTTCACCCAAAGGCCCCAGTGGGGGTGGCCACATGCGTCCGCCACACCCACTACACCGCTTCGACCCAACGCCCCACTGGGGGTGGCCACATGCGTCCGCCACACCCAGTACAGCGTGTCGTGGGGGTGGCCACATGCATCCGCCACATCCAGTACAGCGTTTCGTGGCCCCATAGGGAGCTCCACCTGCGGCCCCAGTGGGGGTGGCCACATGCGCCCGCCACACCCAGTACAGCGCTTCGTGGCCTTAAGGGAGCTCCACCGAAGGCCCCAGTGGGGGGTGGCCACATGCGCCCGCCACACCCAGTACAGCGCTTCGTGGCCCCATAGGGAGCTCCACCCAAGGCCCCAGTGGGGGTGACCACACGCGTCCGCCACACCAGGTACAGCGCTTCGTGGCCCCATGAGGAGCTCCACGTAAGGCCCCAGTGGGGGGTGGCCACATGCGTCCGCCACACCCAGGACAGCGCTTCGTGGCCAAATAGGAAGCCACCGGGTACAGCGCTTCGTGGCCCCGTAATGAGCTCCAGTGGCCACCGAAGGCCCCAGTGGCACCGCCCGCATGCGTCCCCCCTTCCCGTGGCCCCACTGGGAGCTCCACCGAAGGTCCCAGTGGCACCGCCCGCATGAGTCCGCCACACC